GTCACTTATGCCCGGTTCAGATGCCGACCTTTTCATGAGCCGAACCTAATTCGAAGCAAGGCCGACCTAAACTATATATTTAGTCCGCCTGAATTGATTCAGACGCCGATCTTAATTCCAGCCGAACTAAATTCAAAATGAGGAAAAGGCTAAGTTTGGTGAAACTGCTTACAAAATTTGTTATAATAATTTATGCATTAGGTTCGGTACATGAAAAGTTCGGGGTCTGAATCAAAGCCGTTCCAAAGTCGTTCCAAAGTAAAAATTCCCAGCCGGGCTAGAACGGCAATTGAAATATGCGTTCCTAATTGATTCAGACGCCGAACTTTTCATGTACTTAATTCAATGTATTAGGTTCGGCTCATGAAAAGATCGGCGTCTGAACCGGGCCTAAAACCTTCAAAGTTACCACCCATTGAGACCCTTTATTACTATTCATTCAAAATATTTGGCCGTTTCTGATTGGCTAAAATCCCACACATAATTCATCATAACCAGCTATTGTCGACCAAATTTGGAAGAATTTTGCGATATTGAACTGATGACGTCAATCGTGCAGAGAAATTGACAGATTATTGAACCGTTAACCGAGAAGACCTGGGGACGAGTTTGACTTGTTTTCGTAGTGGGTACAGAATGTCGGAACATTTTACTCGTTCCACGGCGAACTATTGTCTAAAAGCACAGAAAGAACAGCAAGAAGACAACTCGACGGACGACATGTGCGATTTGGAGTACATTTGCAGACCTGAACAGTCGTTTTTCTCCTAAACTTCCCGATAAACAAGCACTATGGAGATGAACTTAACATCGACGGAGGTGAATTATTTTGAATGAATAATAAAACAATTCTTGAATTCGGCTTTCGTATCATCTAAAGAATAATGAAGGTCTCGGAGGTGTTATCCAACTCGGCCGATAACACCCTCCTCGATCGCCATAATTCTTGAGATGATACGAAAGCCGAATTGAATAATTGCTAATTAGTATTCATTCAAAATATTTCGCCATTTCTGATTGGCTAAAATTCCGCGCATAATCCATCATAACCGGCTACGGTCGACCAAATTTAGAAGAAGTTTGCGATGTGTGAACTGATGACGTCAATCGAGCAGCAAATTGCCAGATTATTGAACCGTTAACCGAAAAAACCTGAGGATGAGGTTGAGTTACATTTCGGTAGTGATACAAAATTGCGGAACATTTGACTTGTTTCAATAAAACAAAAATTGAATTATTAAAGAATTATGGAGATCTCAGTGGAAGGTGCACTAAGTTATCCAACTAATTCACAGACACTCCACTGGAAAGATCAAGAAAATAAGAATAATCCAGATCCAAATATAACTGGCAGGGGGCAACCAGTTGGCCGAGGATTTGAACTTAGGGCGAAAGAGAACAAATCCAGCAAATGGCCAGAGCGGGTATCGAATGCGAGCTCGCCGGATTGCGAGTCCGACACGTATACCACTCGTTCACGCTGACCTGCATTTCCTATTGCATAAACTTATTCTCAAAAAAATTAACTAAATAAATAATTTGTTTCAGATTTTAAAGCGATGCTGGCAATATGGACGGATAAGTTCATACAAGAACTTTTAAGACGCTGATAAATGGTACAACAAGAATCGATCATGAGTAAGACGGAAGAATAATCTGTTTCGTAACAAGTTGGCCTACTGTTCACACCTGTTTCCTGGAGTAGTTAAAATAATGTAGACTTAGTGCAAGAGAGAAATAAAATGACTATAGCATTGCATTGGCCTATTCTCTCTGTTTGTTGTCCAAGATTGCGTTTTATTTCCGTAATACTGACTGACCTACACGATTGTCTTCTCATAAAAATGTTTAAAAGACCGGTTGAGGCATCTTGACCGCTAAATTTGAGATCAGAAAGAGCAACTGCCTGTCTTGGATAAAGATGAAGCATTGAAAAATAAAACAAATACCAATCAAAGCAGCATTTTGTTCCAATAAATAACGACTTGAATTTCTCTCACTGCGATCCATTTGAGACATTTTTATTTATAGTCAAATGTGATCTACATGTACTTCTCTATATATTCGGCATCTTCACAAGAAGGTTAGCCCATCTAATAAGCTAGCACTAGAAAGCAAAGCCCTCAACGTATAACTTGTGTGATTCAGCTTATGTCAGTTACCCTTGAAGACCTTTACCAATTAACATTGATAAACACAAACATAATCTACAACTGGACAGAATCTACGAGTTGCTCACGCGATTTCGTCCCTACTGACATAAAAATCCAGGAGATTTCTATTTCTTGAAGACGTTCTGGGGAAAATTCAACTGTGTTTTTCGCGAAATGCTGTTTATTGAGATTTAAAGACGAATTATGTTTCGTTTTAAAATATTTGTGTAGCCTAAGGGTTTAGAACTGGATGTTCGTTTTACAATTTATTTAATGAGAACGACAGCTTTCAGCTTTCCAGCTTTGATTTTGTACTTCTTATTTTGCAGAGACATCAATTTCACTTCAAATTTTGACATTTTCACATGTCTTAAGGACCCTTAAAAAAGAACAATATTCTGTGCCATAAATTAATCAGATTGTCACTGTTCCTATTTTTTATCTAATAATATTGATAATAATATAATAATAATAATAAATTTATAACGTGCCTTTTCCATACAAATATGGTCAAAAGAGCGTGACAAGACGTAACTGTTAAAAGAAAACATAAGCTAAAATGAGCATAATAATTGAGGCTAAAACTAAATAACGCTAAAAATTAAATAAAGATAAAAACACTAAATACCGGTATATTACATAGTAGGTTAAAATCATTACATATCAAAAGCTAGTCTAAAAAGACACTTTTTAAGTTAAGATTTAAAACGTTCAAAACTGTCCTCAAGACGGATGTGAAGGGGCAGATCGTTGTTCCATAAATTACTACAGAGGCAGCAGATGGAAAAGCACGATCCCCGAAAGTCTTTTTCAGTTTTAAACTAGGATACTTCAACATAAGACCGCTAGCTGAACGGAAATTATAGCGCGGCTGTTCTTTTAATAGCAATCAAATCAATCAAGTAACCAGGCGCATGACAAGTATTTTAAAATCAATACGAAATTTGACAGGAAGCCAATGTAACGAACGTAGCAATGGTGTTATGTGACTGTGGCGAGAAACGTTAGATATTAGTCGAGCAGCTGCATTCTGCAAACGTTGCGGTTTAAGTAGGTGAACAGACGGTAAACCAATAGAAGGCTGTTGCAGTAATCTATACGACCAATGATAAAAGCATGGACCAAAGTTCGTGCAGATTCCTGGGACAGATACTTTCGGATACGCCGAATATTGTATAAATGGAAAAACCCAGATTTTCAAGTTTTGTGAATCTGTTCCTGGAGACTCAAGTTAGAATCGAACCATGTCCCTAACTTTCTTGCCACAGTGACAGGAGCAACGTCAATGCTTCCTACGGTAAGGCTATCAATATTTACTTTGGAAAGTTGCAAAGTGACCTAGTGAAAATCAAAAATCGTAAAAGTCGTAAGCGGAGTCATAAGCGCGACGGAATCGGAGTCAGAAGAATCAGAACGTTTCCATTTCTTCCGACTCCGTCCTTAGTTACGTTCTGCTTAGGATCTAGTGAAAACCAAATTGTCGGAGTCGGAAGCAGAAGCGGAAGGATAAACCAATGACAGTCCACGTTCCCACGCTTTGTGGTTGATTTGGCTCTTCTGCTTATGCTTCCGACTCCGACAATCTGGTTTTCACTATAGATCATAAGCGGAACGTAAGCGACGGAGTCGTAACCGGAATCGGAACGCTGTTTTCACTAGATCATAAGCGCAAAGCTACTCCGTCTATGGGGCGTCTGAACCTTGTCTTTATATTATCTGACTAGCTATTGGATACTGGTCCTATGTGTCGTTTTATCTCTTATTCTATTTCCATGAAAGACTTCTTCAATGAGTAAGACTGTAAAATTTTGAAGAAAGTAACCTTTGAAGACCATTCGGTTCATACACCCCTTTAAGCTCGGGAGTGGATTACGGTAGGTAAAGTCACTTAATATTTGGATCTATTATACTACTACATGAGAAATTTCTGCAATTTGGTTGGCTCAGAGCAGTGTGGTATTTCAGCTAAATTTGAAATACCTACATGTGAAAATTACAAACCTTTTGTGGGTAGTAGTATAAACAAATAATAGCATGGTTTGTACGTGATATTTGGTATAAATACCACTTGTGATATTTCAAAATTGTCTCAAATTTCACTCGCCTACTGGCTTGTGAAATTACGTATAATAATTGCGAAATATCACTCGTGGTATTTTTAACAATTATTCCTCGAGCCCGAATGGGCTCTGAGTCAGCTAAGCTAATCAGAACGCAGCATTGATAATAGACCACTAGTTGGATTCTACTAATTTCAATCATACTATTACCTATACAGATAGGGTGAAGGCTTTAAAAAGCATGACGCACACCCCCGCCCTAATTCAGGGGGTCAGGAGTCAGTCCTCGGGAGAACCCCCATCCCTCGGGGTAGCATCCTGTAATAGTGAAAAACAGTTTGAACCGTTCCACTAGTTTCCAGTCATCAGATCAACTGAAGAGGTCTCCTACACACCTTATTGAATGAGGTGGTCAATTGAAGCTATTTATTATTATATTTATTATTATATATTTGTTATTCACCGCTTCTCAAAAGGCATGTCCAAGAGCTGAATCGAAGCAGTGTTGAAGAACGATAAATGAACAAAAACTCATTAAAGGGCTATTCATGTAATAAGTTTTGGGAAGCGGCCATGCTGTAAAAAATCCCATCTTCTTGTCCAAGCAGGGTATCAATGGTGTCCATCTCAGCAATCTGGCCTTCTTTTAATACTAGAATTATGTCACAATCTTGGACAGTGTTCAGTCGGTGAGCTATAGTGATCACAGTGGAATTTTTCAGTTTCTCGTGCACGGTGGTCCAGATTGTTTGCTCTGTCTTAGGATCGACAGACGCCGTTGGCTCATCTAAGATGACGATTTACTCTGCTGTAGTAGCGTGCGAGCTAAGCAGATTAACTGGCGTTCACCTACACTCAGGTTCTCGCCTCTCTCCAAAAGCTCGTAGTCAAGTTGCCCTTCCAGGTTTTTAACCAATTTTTTTATTGTTACTACTTCAAGGGCGTTCCATAGTTCGTCATCTCTGTGTTTCTCCAGAGGATCAAGATTTTTTCTTATTGTTCCACTTAAGAGGACAGGTGATTGGCTGAGCACTGAAACACATTTTCGCGACTCCTGCAGTTGAATGCTTTTTATAGAGACGCCTTCGATGAATATCTCTCCGTCAGCCTCAGGCATGCGTAAAAGAGCTGCCACAATTGACGATTTTCCATCTCCTGTGCGACCAACAATTCCTAACTTCAGTTTCTCTCGAATGTCAAAAGTTAAATGTTTCAAAACTTGTGGACCACCTGGGTAATACCTCAAAGAAACATCTCTAAAACTCAGGCTGCCAGCGTCTGGCCAGTTGACGGGCGGAAGTGTTTTGATGTTGTAGCCTGGCTCAGGCTTGAGATTGGCGTAAGCCATGACTCGCTCGACAGACGTCATTGCGTCCTCAAGGTCTGCAAATTGCCGCACAGCAAATTGGCACACCTTTGCAGTGTTGATGGCGTACGCCAGGACAAGACCAGTAAATGCTGCAAGTGAATTTGGAAAAAAAAAACATCATTAAAGGACAAATTATATTGCATACGTTTGAGGTAGCCGCCCTAGAATGCATTAGGACATTCTGACGGATCAGTCTCTGACCTTAACGAATGTAACGCTTTAAAAGATTTTAACTAAATTTTTAACTCGGCTAACGATCAGTTTACAATGCAATGTATGCATTTTCTTTCAGGATAATTAATATATCAGGCAGGATTGACAGTTTCTGCGAGTTGCAATTAAAGTCGCAATTAATACAGTATGAGAGAAAGCGGCTGCATCAAAGTGTAGCTATCCGTCATTGCTATTCAGATAAGGTCTGTATCATCGCACTTGTCTCAGCGCCGAGAGTCTGTCGTAAAACTGGAGTAACAATTTATCTTCTCTGAGTTGCGCGATATAGCCCTTACCTTGAAACTGGAAGAGAAAAGAAAACCCAAAAGCTGCTGCAGTTGTTAATATGCTAAACAGGCAATCGGCTCTTACTCCAATCCAGTTAGAACATGCTGATACCATATAAAACGATTGGTTATGCAGGTCTTGATGTCTAGAGGAAAAAAAAAAATTTTTCAGTGCCGGCAAATACAAAAATTTATTAATTATAGCGATATATGTATATTAACGTAACAGATCATCGCTCATGGTTTGGCAGTTGGTTTTTAGTGATTTCGCAAAATCAAAAATCGAAACGCACTAGTGCTACTGATTAAAGAAATAATGTTCATTCACCGTACACCTCCCAGTCTTTTGTGATTTGTTGATATATTGTTCGCTTGCCTCTCTCACCTTGCTGGAGGCAAGCATAGCTAGGCGTTCGTCGAAATTGACAACTAAATTTTGCCCAGTTTCTGTCAGGAACGTGTGAATGTGACAGGAATTTCGCAAAATTTTGGTAATTAAAAGCTCTCAAATTCGCCCAAATGTCCGATCCCATACCCTTTAGCTTCTACCACTTTGGTACGCTTTTCACATATCTAGTTTAAAATACTTTCTCTTTTCAAAACTTCTGTTAAGTGTACTGTCTTCTTAATATGAATGAAATTTTCTAGACTTGTCTTTTTAGTTTCCATAAGATGCATTTGCTGAAGATATTTGATAGCTCTTTAAGTCCATTTACAGACCAAAATGTTAGAGTTTCGTACCTTTTTTATATGCTTCAGCTAGTGAAATCCTTACTGTTGTCTATACCTGAAGCCTGTATCAAAAAAGATGCCCCTTTCGGGCCGAGCCTTCCCGTAAATAGGCCTTTAGTGAGTTTACGCAACAGGACGGCAAAACGCTTGTGCGTGACAAACGTGACAGGGCTATCACTCGCGTGTTTTGTCGTGATCTTCCGTTAACATTGATGTTTCCTGGTCTTTTACAAAAAGATCTGTTAAAAGAAAGGTGAAGTTCTTTCAAACAAAAATATTGTCACGCTTGCCACACAAGGTTGCCGTCTTCTTTCCTCTCCGTCGTTTTGCGTAAGTTCACTATTATAGGGAGAAAGTCCCCTACCCACCACCAACGCCCTCTCTCAGTCTGGGTTGCTTGCTGGAATTTCTTCACTTGTTCAGTATTCGTTTTAGTGTATGATTTTCAGTGACAACGGTAAGTAAAGAACAGCAGCTTCAAACCACACAAAACAACATCTGATTACTCAAAAATTATGATATAGTGTTCAATAGTGTTAAATATTTCAGTAAATTTTGTCGAATTTTGCATTTCCAAAAGCTGCCTGTCATTGCGTCACGCGTTTGAATTACAAGAAATGTAAGAGCAGCTGAAAAATACTTACCGGTAAAACTGCTCTATAAAATCTCTTTCCTTTTTTCGGGTTCGAATCGTGCTTAAACCGGCCACGGTCTCCGAGAAGTGCGAGAAAACAGGACTGCGGCAGATTGACTCCAGTCTCTTGAGCTCTCGTGATGTATTCAAGTAATACCGTGTGAGGTAGAGGCAAGCAGCTATAAATGGAATGGTAACCAGACAGAGCCACAAGTTCAAGAACGAAGGCAGCAATATTGAGGCAAGGAGGACCAACGAACATCCGGTGACATGTAAAAACATTTTGGGTAGAAGTTCGTCTATATAGCCGATGTCTTTGGAGCACCTATTGAGTATTCGTCCAGCAGGATTTGTATCGAAAAATAGAACTGGTGCCCGAAGGAGACATGAGACCATTTTATCGTGCAGTTTTCTGGCTGACCTGAGTAATGCATTGTACACAAGACCAGCGCGTATCATACCGGAAAAGAAGGAAGCGGCCACGAGACTGGCGTAAATCTGTAGTGTTGTTTTGTCTTGTTGGTTTTTCCAGGACATCCGCGTCAAAAAATATAACCAGATTTCTGGCAATAACATAACACCTGCAATGGAAACGAAAGAAATTAAGCAGAAAGAAAAAAAAACGTGACTCACTGTTTTATATACCCTATCCCCGACTTAAATGCTCAAATCGATACCCTCAACAGCGGCCAGTTCACTTTAAATTTGCAGTGGCAAACATACCCATGACTCTACTTTTTCCCTAGACAGCGAGTTATTGTCCCCTTCCTCAGGACCACACAAAGTTGCAGGGATAAAGTAAAGCAGTCTGCTTCTGCCCCCGCCCACACAACTCCCAAGGTCTGAATAAAAAAAAGGAAGTTAACTAAGAAAGGAAAGAACGACTTTGCAAGGCTGACATTTTCAAATAGAAAGTCTAATAATGATTCGGAAATTTGAATTAGAGGCGTGGCGCTCCTCCCAGAAAACAGGGTAAGAGTCTTTCTAGTAAGTGGCACCACTTGTGGCCAAAAATCTTAACTACTTGCTTTAGCAGCGAGATTTGCAGGCGTTTCTTTTCTTTTCTTTTTTTTTTTTTTCGTGCGTGCGCGCCAAAAGGACAGTTATGGTTCTAGGCGTTCCTAACAGAGACAGTGGAAACGGGTGATAAGAATCGCGGCGTGACCAGTGCCATGCTGATGTTTTGTGAAGAAAACTTAAGAAAGCTTAATAAGAAAAATGTAGAGCTTTCCGAAACGGGTCGGTCCACGAATTCTATCGCCTGAAAGAATTAATTACCTTGGAAAAAGTGAATGAATACTTTAACGAGCAAAACTTCGATGGTGAGGCTAACAGGTCGGGCATCGTGTGGTACAAACTTTCATTGCATGCAAATGAGTCTTGTGATGGGCATGCGGTTTATTTTTGGCAATGATTGAAAAGAAACGTCATGTTTATCACGTTTTTGCTGTCTGGCAGTGATGTAATTTCTCTCGAATCGAGGCCCTTGATTTTCATGTATTCATACATACCTACTCAATCAATTCAGAAACAAATCGTCAAATACGCTGTAAAAAGTAAATATCCTGAAGAAAACTCGATCGTCGATATGAGTAGGAAATGAAAACCTTTTAGCGAGGAAATCCTGTTTTGTGTAGAATTAATCCCCTCCTTAGCCTGAATTTCAACCGATTACTTCGAGTCGTTATTACTCCCTCAGTAACGTCTGAATCGACCGGCCGTTAATGCCGTCCAGTGACGTCACTACTACCCCAAAACCGGGTAGTGATTTTGATTGGCTGATTGTCTACACATTCACATAATTATGTATAATTATGAGAAATTTTAGGGGGATTGTCACTTGATATTCAGCGGATCGCATCACTGGCATGCTTGCGTGGAGTTCAAACATTTCGATAATCTTTATAGTAAACAGCAAAATTGCCCTTGTCTTCGAAACTGAAATGCTAAATTGAACTGAATGAAGAATCACTGCGGAGAGTCGGTAGGTTTTCCATTTAGAGCCGCTTAGTGGTTTCGGCAGTGATTTTGTTTATGCGAAGTTTTCTGAGATCAATGTTATAATTCGACCTTCTTGCTATTTTCACCGTCAAAGCTTTTCTTTCTTGTTTCCTTGTTTGTTTCTTCGTTGAGGACCAGATATGATAGCTTCTTATCAATTAAAGCAATCCGTTGTGTTTTTGAATCAAGTGTTCCGTGTGTGTATTTATTTCATCGCGTGGTTGCGACGGACTGTGATTATGGAATTACAACCGGTTCAGAGCTGTACTGCATGCAGTTGTTAGTTTAAACGTTAAATATGAATTACGATCGAAAAACGTAAAGCAATTCTGTATCATGCAGACATTCCCAAACGATATTTCTCGGTTTGCCACTTGAAAATCGGGTTTTACTCTTTGCATGAATTAAAGCAAAGGAGTAGTGACGCCACTGGACGGCATTAACGGCCGGTCCATTCAGACGTTACTAAGGGAGTAATAACGACTCGAAGTAATCGGATGAAATTCAGGCTATCCCCTCCTCATTTCATATCTAATCTCCAAGCAAGCGGGAGTTACAGCTTTTAAGAGTGTTGTTCCATTTCATCGCAGGTACACATCTTTAAAAAAAGGTAGTACACATGGAAACTTATGAAAAAAAACGCACTTTTATTTGAGTGTCAATGTATTTAGCACAAAAGTACTAATTGGGGACACTATATTTTACGTCTCCAACTGGAGACGGGACCGCCATTTTACGTGGTCATCCGAGCCACTCGGAGGTCTAGCCTGTTTCACTGCAAAGGGAGTACCTTCATTTCTCGGTTATTTTAAGACCCTGAGTATTGGTCCGGCCCCAGGAATCGAACCTGCGACCTCCCGCTCTGGAGTCAACACGCTCTACCGACTGAGCTAACACTGCCGCGGTTTATGAACCATCGACCCACCGTAAAAAGACAGCTCTTAGTCCTGCATCATTGGAGTTTTTAGAAAACTTAATTGCAACGAATTTTTCGCCACCATTTCGTTCTCAAATACACTCGGTCGTAAACTTACGCCACCCATGCACAAGAATTAAATATGGTAATTTTCGCTCCTTTAGAAAGAGAGGGATCAAAGATTGACTGATTACACATTCTACCTTAACACCCAAAAAATCACTTCATGGAACGTGTCCCAACAACCAAACTGAAACGAGCATTACACCCATATATGAAGTACTTATAACGCCTAACCCCGCTATTATATGGTCGCAAGTGTGCGTGATTATTTCATAATTTATGCAATAATCATGCATGCACTCACACCACAAAAACGCTTACTCACCTTGGATCACCAGACAAAGTAAAATCAAAAGAATCACGCCCAATGAAGGTAATCCAGTTCGAATGTAATTCCAGTACAAAGCAGGAGAGACTCTTCCGGTGGCTCTTTCTTCTTCTGAGATCTCCAAAGTTTCGTCAGATCCATCACGGACGCCTATGAAACGCATTCGAGACGTGCCACTTTCATCTCTTGCTTCTTTTGCGGCGACTGATGCATCTTTGATAGTAAATAAAATTTTCTCCGCATCTGAAAGTTCACTAAAACTGCCATTCTTTAATACTGACCCGTTGTCAAGGACCAAAACTTGATCAGCTGCCACCATGTACTTCTGTTCGTGTGTTACCAATACTTTACTTTTGTCTCGTAGAAGCTTGCAGATACACTGTTCAAATATGTGTTCACCTACTCTAACATCCACGGCACTTAAAGGATCATCCAGTAAATAAACGTCTGCATCTGCGTACACAGCTCGTGCCAGATTGACACGGGCAAGCTGACCTCCACTCAACACGATACCATGTTCTCCGACAAAGGTACTGTCGCCACTGGGAAATCTGTTGATGTCTTCAGTTAGCGCACATGCCTCTAAAACTTTAGTATACCACTCTTCATTGTAAGGCTCACCAAAGAGGACGTTTTCCCTGACGGTCCCAGAGAAAACCCACGCCGATTGTGGCACATAAGCTAAAGTACCAGGACAGACCACGCTACCACTTGTTATTATTACCTCTCCCGCGATTGTGGCCAAAAGAGTTGACTTTCCACTGCCTACTTGACCAGTGATCACGGTGAGGCTGTTTTTGGTCGCATCAAAACTTACATCTTGAAGAAGAAACTTTTCATCAAGACTATTCACTTTGCACGTTAGACCAGAAACTGATAAAGTGAAATCTATTTTCTCATCCTTGTTTTCAGAGCTAACAATTTTAACAGTCCGATGATTGTCTAGGGAAGACACAATCGGCGACGCCAATGCAAAACGACTCTCTCGCCTAAACGAACTCTGACAGTACTCGAGTTGTCTGAAGGGAATTTCTTTCATTAAAAGAAAGCGCTCGATCCTCTGGAGGGTAGAAGGCAACTCAAGTAATAAAGGAAGAGAAGTTGATAGTCTAATTAACGCCATCTTTTCTAGAGCAAACATAAAGGAAAGCAGCATAAAAGCTGTGGGCGTCGAAATGAAGTGGCCTGTTAAAATGATGGCGAAAACTGAAAGGAACGTTCCTGCACTGCCCGCCGTAAACGAAACACCATCTATGATAGATAATAGAGCGCTCTTTTTCATGATAATCCATATTTCAGCTCTAGTAGGTAAAAGAAAGAAAGTTTGGTTGGTTTCCTAGTAGTAGATGAATTTTTTACTGACTGGGATTAATTATTGAGTGTATAAAGGCCTACTCAAGACAGGAAGAATGTTAAGAAAATCTTTGGTATCTTTTGGAATTAAGTTACTGCGGACAAAGTTTTTTTTATACGAACAGCACAATATTAGCTTTTAAAGAGCATACCTTAAGCAAGCACAGTGGTAAAATTAGTCTAGATTCAAATACCCTACCAGTGGATTAAAATACCTCACAATTAATTGCCTGGAGAACAGGCACTGCTACTATTGACTAATGCCAGAAACTGATAATGAGTTGAAAAGTGTAACTCTCATATGTTTGCTTTGTCCGATGCTCGTGACTATTCATTTTCGAAAGTACCATATTTGGAACGAGAAGAAAATAGAACTGACCAATCAAACTTCTTGAATGGACGTGACGTAATTCTACTTCACGTTCCGGCGCCCGCTTAAAAAAATGGCCGACCAACCGGCCGGGGAAAAACTCCCGAAACCCGAGTAAGCTTTCAAAGGTTGAAACCAGGAATCTTACCGAAATACTGAGCAGGAAATTGGCTTACCACCCTGGCCAAACGCAATATTATGAAATCCACTGACCACAGCGCCACTTCTTGAAGTTGTCACTTCAAAAAACGATACCTCAGTGACCCTCTTCGCAGTAAACTTATTGACTGCAAATAGGCTTTTAAAATTCTTATATTAAAAGTCTAGAATAAACACTAAAACACATTTTCGAATTAAATTCATTAGCTGCGTATCAAAAAGAGTCCAAAAACTGAACCTGACATCTTCGCAAAGGTGATGCGTGTAATGAATGTCGGAAGCATTAAGCTTAAATTCAGCTTGGATGCTGTAGTGTAACGATCGTGTTTTGAGCTAATTTTATGAATGAAAAAGCTCAAAATAATAGACATTGAAGCCGTTTCTTGAAAATTTTTATTCAAATCCTTTAAAGAAATTCGCATAACATTATCCGGATCGTGGATCCGTTCACGTAAGTAAAATCGGCTGAGCACATGGCAAAACTCAACACAAAATCCATTTCAAATAGAGGCGCATTTTGTGATTTCTTTCTTTAGCGCAGAAGAGAAAAATGTATAAAACGTCTGTGAGACATTTAAAAATTCATACTAAAATTCCCCACCAAAAACGTAATTTTCTTGTCCATAGAGTCCAAAATGTACCTGAAAATTTTAGCAAAATGGTTGCATTTCAAAACAGACCATGCGCTCCGCCGTGAAAAAAACCAGGTTGAATTCCTCGAAGGACGATTTCTTGATGAAAAGCTTCCTACCTCCCCCAAAAAATTGAGCATTCTCACGGCATTTGAACTTCCTCTTTCCAGTTTTTGTCTTTTAACGGTGTATTTTTAACCTTGAAATGCAGAACTGGTCTTAAAACCGCCGCATAGTGATCGCGAGGCAGCCATTTTGTTGAAAATGGGTATCCTTCACTAAGGTTTCCAAATATGGTAAAAGTGAATATTCACGAGCAATGAACGCGGGTTAGACATTTCAACCCCTTGTGAGTTTTTGCTAATGCTTAAAGGACAAGATAGCTGAACTAGATGTCAAGAACGTGATTCAAAAGGCGCCAAGTGATTTTCTAAACAAAGGGAGGTGCTTTAACGTTGACAAACAACGATTAAAAGAGTTAAGCTAAGCAGTGATAATTCGCAGAATCCAACGTCTGAATAGATATGTACATTGGAATAGTCATTGGCTTTTCTGACTGTATTTAACATAAAAAAGCATCCATGTAGATAATTCAATCTGAAAAGTTTGCTTGTTGCTATTCGGTGTGGGTAACCTCGTTCCCAGCGTCCCCTCCTACTCGTCCGCCGGAGCAAGAGAGGGATGGCAAGTAAGAGAAGACCCTTGGAACGAACTGTACGGTTGGATTAAGGCTATGTTCATACTATACTGGATAATTTTTTCGCCCCCCCCCCCCCCCCCGCCCCCCCCCCCGCCCCGCCCCCCCCCACCACCCCCCACCACCGCCCCCCGCCCCCCCCCCCCCCCCGCCGCGGGAGAGGGGGGGGGGGGAGGGAAAAAAAGAACACGTTGGGAAGCCATGGGTGGGGTTTTGGGCTTTTTCTTTATCTTCATGTAAATTTTTTTCCCCCCCCCCCCCCCCCCCCCCCCGCACGAAAATCACACTGTATAGAGTTTCTCAGTTCACACACAAGAGCGGTGATGATTTCGGCGCGATTTCTGTGACGGATCGAAGCTGTGCCGCGCCGATCTCTAAAATGGCGTGTCACATAATAACACAAAGGTTTTGTGCCATACTTTGGTGCAGTATTACCACCTAATATTTGGACCGTCGCGGTAGTGAATAACTATGGCAGAAGAGTAGAACCCACTGAAACAGAAGTAAATGCTCTGCAAGAGTCAGATCTGGGATTTAGTCTACCAAACTATCCTGGCAAGCCGCTCCTGCACGATGTTCAACGTGTGTGAACGACTTGTTCCAGTTCCATGCCGTTGCTGTTCATACTATATACTGGATTGCTCTTTGTTTCGGCACGAAGAGCAATCCGGTATCCGGTATAATGTAAACATAGCGTAACTATTCTCACCTTCTCGTAGCCTTCACTTTTTCTTGATAGTATTCTTCCCACGCATGCGTTTTTAGAGCACGTATACCAGTCACGAGCTCATTCATTAATAAAAGGCGCCTGTCCGATACCTCCGCAGTTTCCACGCGCAGCCCAGCACATATATATGAGATTATCAAGACACAAAGAATCATCGCCACTAGAAACAGAACTCCCATCAATGCTGGCCAGCCAATGAGGTGCAGCAACGAAACAATGACAACTGTAAATTCTAAAGCAAAGAAGAACGAGGCAAAAATCCATCTGCTGGTCAGCTCGATTCTTTGGACGTCGTTTGATATGAGGTCAATAAGGTTGCCGGTTGTTGCTTTCAGGAGACTTTGCTGGGTTAGTAAATGAATCTGCAAAAAAATTAAAAGTCATCTTGTCAGCAAACCCGGCTGTCAGTTCTTAATATTAAGCACATTTTCTTTTCCATAAGAGCGGTTCAAAACATCTAAGCTTTTTAAAAATAAATGCAACCTGTGAGACTGAGTGAAACTTAAAACGTAATGAGCGTGTCATAGCATACCAAGGTGATAGTTTTTCTTTCCATATTGTTTTTAACATAACCTCGCTCAAATGACAGGAGAATTTCATAGTAAACAGATCATTTGTAATTACTTTTTTTTTTTAATTTTTGTTTATTTTCTTGTTCTTTCTTTGTTTTTTGTCTCCTTTGCGTCGGTTGGCTTTACTGGGGAATGTTTAGGTTTCTCTGCCTCAGTTCTTTTTGGTGTACTAAGCATCATTCGACACGGTTCGACTTAACGTCACAATCAAGGCTTGCGAACGTTTTTGAAAACCGAAATCGTGTAAGCACAGTGCGATATAGTGTAAACATAGCCTGAGTCTGCTCACTCGACTAATCAAGTTCTTATATTCTCGTTCGCTATCTGTTTCAGTTTTCCTCCCGTAATCAGTTTTAGTGGCTCAAACGAAAACCGCTCCATCGCGAACGAACTTAAGATTCTGGTTATTGTAACAGCAAAAAGGTAAACAACAATAACAATACAGCAACAATAAAAAAATCCATCAGAGGTCCTTTACCTTGCGATAGACAATCCCTTTGAGACCATTACTCAAGCGCATGCCCAGAAGATCACATCTAAAACCAGAGTAATGGGTGGTAGCGGATAATACTCCTGCTATTCCAATAAAGAAACAGCAACCAGCCACAAGAGGCTGATTCCTTTCTGTAGACTGCAACAATGCAAGGAGAAGGCCAAGAGCCAGAGGAAGCGTAACACGGAAGACTGACTCTATAAACCAGAAACTTAGCAAAAATAAAACCTCTTTAAAGGATAAAATCCTTAGAACACATTTCCAAAGCTTTGGCTCTTTATGAGGGGCGATACTACATTCGCGTACATGCTCATCCCATTGCTCTTGAAGTTTTTCTGTTTGAACTTTTGTTTTGTCTTCTTCGTTAAGTGGTAAGAAATCAGACTGTTCTAATGGGCGTTTGTTTCCTGTTCTGAATATGCCATTCATCCACCAGCAGGTCAAAAGTGAAAGAAAATTTGCTGAATTAGCAGGATGCCGGCCATTGTTTTCCAAGTCTTTATCGTCAGTTTTTATCGACTCGTAGCCCTTGTTTTCCATCCTGTGTTTTTTAAAATGAAAACAGCAAAAAAAAGAAATGAATATAAAAAACTGTGATAAAATGTAATTAAAAACCACTTAAAGAAATTATTTTTTAAAAAAAGCGTTTAAAAACATAATGACGACATTCTCGGACGACTTTGTAAAGTAAAAAAAAGTTACATATACACGTTTGATAAATAGGAAAAAATGACTGGATCCTTAAAAAGAAGTTAAGAAAGGCAAGGCGGACCGGCTTTTTGCGTCTGTCTTAGAGAGATGTCCGCCTCAAGGCCGATTTAGACGGTACGATTTTTGCTTACGACTATCGTTCGCGACTAGCGTACGTCATGACCCACGACATCCGTACGACACATATGTGGATGTCGTAAGTGAAAATTGTGGGCGGGTGGATGGTCGAAAGTGATGACGTATGCTAGTCGTGCACGACTGTCGTAAGCAAAAATCGTCACCGTCTAAATCGGTCTTTAAACAGAGTCGGCTAAAAAGAGTAAAGAAAGTCAGGAACAAGCACGTTTGTGCGTCCGTTTTAACGAGGTGTATATCTTGTAGAGGTGTCGGTCCGTTTTAGGAAGTTAGAGAGTTGTATAAATTATGAATCATGAAACGCTACAACCACTTGCAAATCTGTTGAGACACTCAGGCGAAAAACCAGACTTTTTTACTTCAAATCGCTACTGGTCACACATCTGTAAGATACCACACTCGCTTCCTCCATTCCCTCTGTTCAAAAGTTGTAATCACGGTTTTTAATTACTACTGAACTTTGACAAGGGAAGGAGGCGGGATAATAGCGGAGCTCTCGCGCGCGAAGCGTATGGTAGTCGGAATGGTGCAAAATTCAACGAAGCAAAATCACCACCAACATCAACAACCAATCTGCAGTTCAACATTTTTTTTCTACATCAACAATAAAATCCGTCCAACTTCAACAATTAATATAATAATCAACCATCGAAATATGCCTAATTCAACAACTAGAGAAAATCAA